TTAGAGAGAGTATATATATATATATATAAAAACTTCTATACACATTTTATCGTCGGGTTTTGTACCTTTCCTGTTTGATACTGTAAATGTACAGCAGGGCTGCAGGCGGAGGGTCCAGGTTGGAGCTCGGCCCACCACCCCTGTCTCCCGCTGCCCTCTGCGGGCTCTGCGACTGTGCCTGGGGCCTGGGCTGCGCTGGGTTCCCAGAACGCCCGGTCCCGCGGGACACGGTGGCTCCCCACCCCCCGCGGACACGGTCACGGAAGGAAGCCTGGCATGTCCCTCGTGCTTTTCCTTTCAGATTATTGAGACTCAGACTCACTGTCACATTTAATATATGGACTTTATTTAAGAGGAGAGGCGAGGGCCTGTGCTTCAGACCGAAGTCTTCGAGGGCACCTGCCTCCCCAGGGCAGGCTCCGTCTGCAGCTCACCCCCTCGCCTCAGCGCTCAGCAATTTCATTTCAATATTTATTTTTGTGCTGCTTTGACCCCGATATAAATTATTGAGGAGACCCTTGCGTGGCCCTTGTTCCTGTGGGCGTGCCCCGTGCCGCGCCCACACCACCGCCTAATTTATTGCTGTACATCTCCGCTGTGACGCTTTTGTACCTTTGCAATAAAGACTTTTCTGGTTTCAGGTTTGTCTTGCTGTGTGGTTGGTGGTCCCCCCACATCCCTTTACCCAAATCGGGTGCTGCTGTGAGCGGGTCACCCGTGGGGGGGGGCAGCAGGCTCACTCCCTGACTGGTGGACGGGGTTCGGAGGGTCCCACCTGCTGGCCAGGGGCCCCAGTCCACGGACGCAGCCTCGGCAGTGGCCGCCGTCACCCTGAGCTTGTCAAGGGCAACCACCGATGTTTCCCAGCCGAGCAGACCCCTGCAACCAGCCCTGCTCCTCCTCGGGGAGCCTCCAGACCTGGAGCTGGCCACCGCCTGTGCGTGTGAGCTGGGAGGCACGGGCCCTGGTTCCCCACTGGCTCCCTGTCCCCCAGGCCCTCTGTGGATCGCTGGGGCCACTTTACAGATGAGAACACTGAGGCCAAGACAAGCCGCTCCTGCCTGTGTGGCCACTGCAGGCCCCCCACCGGGAGGGCAAGGCCCCAGAGGCCCGAGCGGCAGCCCTGACGCGCATGGTCCCCTCACCTGCACAGGCAGGAGCCCGGACCCGTTTTGTCCTCACGGCTGGACTTTGTTCTGCCCACGACAGGTGTCGCGGGGCCAGGATGGGAGAGAATGGGTCTCTGCAGCTGTGACCGGGCAGGTGGCTCAGCCTCTCTGTGCCGGGCCGCCTCCCGGGCTGTCGCGAGGAGGAAGTGCGTGCGGTCTGGCCGGGTGCTTGGCAAATGCCGACCTCCTCTCCCTCCGAAGCACCAAGCCCAGCACTACCACCTGCCCCCTGCACAGCCTGGCCCACGGCGCCCTGCAGCCCACGCGTGTCCCTTGGGCCTCTGACTATCCGCGCGCACAGCTTTG